GCTAGAAATGCCAATAAGTATCGCCCTTCACCAAACGACTGATGGCAGCCGATGGAAGCAGATGTTTGACAGGATGAAAGGGAGTTACGATCTTCATCAGTGAGGGAACGATTGGGAAGAGAAGAGAGCCCTGAGCACTAGTTATATTTCTAATAAACTTTCAAATATTTGTAGCACCCACGAAACAAATAGTAGCACCAATACCACTTATCATCGGGTCGGGTGATAAAGAAAATAAAAATATTTTACCGGTTGTGGTTTTATACCTAATTGAACTTTCGATGTTACGGGGTTATAGTGTCCCGTCCGTATAGCGGACCCGGTGAATACTTTTATTTGCATTTTCTTATAGAAATTCAGGGTGAAACAGTCTCCCGGAATTGAGTTAGTGTCAACTATGGCTGCAAGCGATACATCGATTTTTTTCAAACAGCGATATATCGTTCATAAACATAATTGTTTTAACATCGATGTTGAAACTCGAAATATCGATGATAAATCGTTCTTCATGAGCGATGTTTTATGAACGATGTTTTATGAGCCTCTCTCAGTCACAACTGTTATAAGCATAGACTTTTCTATTTAACGAACGCGGGATAAACGAAACAAAACAATTACTTCGATCGGCTGTATCATCGGTTATTATTTTATTTGTTGTGTGAAAAAGTGAAGCAAACTTATAGTTACCTGTGATAGATAACTCAAAATTGAACTGTGTATAGCGAACGTAGCCTACCTCTGATTTCAATAACATGATTACACTCTATTTCATTGTTTTAATTTTAAAGTGAGCTTAAATGGGTAAACCTTCATTTATAGGTTTTCTTTCTGAGTTAATTGTTGTTAGGAGTGACAACTCCTATAAAGAGATGTGGGACGAAATGAAAGTGTTATTTTCAGGGCTTCATAGTCTAGCCATGTACTATTTGCCAATCGTGGCAAATACTACATAGCTAGACTATGAAGTAATAACCGTTCACTATCAACCTAGTGAACGGTTATTTTCAGAAGCTGGTGCTATAATCACCCAGGAGCGAAATCGCTTAATGGAAACCAGGTTATCAAAAGTAGTACTTTTTAAATCTATTTTAAAGAAATAAACGTAAAAATATGTTTAATTAAATCCTTGTTTTCTGTTAAATAATCATAATAATTTAATTAAAATGTAAAAGTAAATGTGTAAAAATAAATAATGTAAAACTTCAAAAAATAATTTAAATATAATAATAGGTCTTTACCTATGAAATTGCCGTTTTGTACTTATTTTTCAAACTTTTTTATTTCTGTTATTCGAAGTAATCACCCATGCAATCGACGCATCTTTGCCAACACATTGGCAATTTATTGATGCCCTTCTTGTAAAAATCAGCTGGACGGGAGGCAACAAACTCTTCAAAGGCATTTTGTACTGCCTCTCGGGAATTGAATTTATTACCCACTAAAAAGTTGTCTAAATTTTGGCAATAGTAATAGTCGGTAGGTGCAAGGTCTGGTGAGTATGGCGGATGAGGGAGAGCTTCCAACCCCAGCTCTTGCAGCTTGGAGACTGTCTGTTGCGCAGTATGGGGTCGCGCGTTGTCGTGAAGGAGCAGTGGGGACGACCGATTGACCAAAGCTGGTTGCAGATGTGCAAGCTTCTCCATCATTCTCTCCAGTTCTTCACAGTACACATCTGCATTAATGCTCATGCCGTTTTGAAAAAGCCGTGGTGAATCACACCCGCACTAGACCACCAAACAGTGACCATCACCTTTTTAGGGGTCGTTTTTGGTTTAGGGCATTGCTTTGGTGCTGAACCAGGGTCTAACCAACTTGCTGAGGGCTTTCGATTGTCGAACAGAATCCATTTTTCATCGCACGTAACAATTCGTTTCAAAATTCCTTCATTTCTTTGCCTGTTGAGCAGCGCAAGGCAGGTCTCGACGCGTACGTTGCGCTGGCGATCGTTAAGGTCGTGGGGCACCCATCTATCAAGCTTTTTTACCTTGCCAATTTGTCGCAAATGGATCAATATTGTTTTGATGCTTACATTAAAAGCTGCTGCTAGCTCAGCTGTAGATTGAGTTTCGTCAGCTTCCACAATCGCCTTTAATTCATTATTGGTAACCAAAGTCTCCGGACGACCACGAGCTTCATTTTTCAAGTCAAAATTTCCAGAACGGAACCGGGTTTGTGTCGCGTTGGTGCCACGACGGAACTCGTATTCCATAATTACACGAATTTTTAAAGTATCCATTATGACGAAAAATGTTCAAATGTAATGAAAATACAACGCTAATCAAAAAACAAAAGACTGAGTTTGTAAATATAATGTCATGGTTTTAAAACAAAATTAATTTGAATTTAGAATACAGAGCCATTACCAACTTTTTTTAATTTGAAATGACCAGTACTGAAAAAAGGCAATTTCATAGGTAATGACCTAATATTAGATTTTAATACTGATTTGTTTCATTTCTGTTAAAAATAAATATTTATTATTTATAAATAAACAGTGATAAAAATCTAGGTATCGTACATAATGTTCGATGTTTTTGACACCGATGTTTCACTTTGGAAAATTTCGATGTTCTTATATCGATGTTTTTTGCACAATTTTTCATCCCTAGTGTAAACATAGTTATGACTTTGTAAGAAAGGCTCAAAGTTATCAAGCGTACAAATGACAGGGACAATCAGTCACAGTAACGGTATGTATGTATAAGTACTCAAAGGAATAATCTTATTATTAGGATTGTAAAACAGGGAGTGTATCTAGCAAGTTTACTCTTAAAATGGCTTCAACTTTGATTTTAGGATAGGTTTGCAAGTTTGAGTAGGATCATCTTCTAATTTATAAATATTTTCACACATGCAAATAATATAAAATTTCAATTGAGGTAACTAATAAGGGTTTAACAGTTTAAGTTGTTTTAAAAAACTCATAACAAAATTATATTACGTATGCACTCAGGCCCCTCTTTCCCACTGGGCACTCTGGGCACGTGCCCAGGACCCCTCGATCGATAGGGATTCCTGCCAGATCACCAATCGAAAATCAATATTTATCACCAAAAAACATATTTATTTTGAAAAAATCATTTGTAATGACTAACTACAATATTTTTTTTTCTATTCTAACATAATAGTGCTCAGCTAAGTTCGTAGGGGCCCTATTAAGCTAATTTGCGGAGGGCCTCCAATAGAGACGGGCCTGTATGCACTTACATATTTCATTTCTAAAATATAGCGTTAGTCATAGCTATCTATATAGCAGCTTTATTATTGCAGGTATGAGTTCGTCCTTCTGCTTGTCAAACCAGAGTAGTATCAAATATAAGTCGAGAGAGTCATAACCACATGGTTATGACTTAATTGGGTCTTTTGATCCATGAACAATTTATTGTGTATTCTAATAGCCATGCGGCTAATAATGCGGAGCACTGAGGACGCAGTCATAGCTCTAACTCATCACGTAGCAAAGACTCTTGATAAAAAGCAAAAGATTCTAGGTATTTTCCTAGACTTATCTAAGGCCTTTGACACCGTCCCGGTGTGAATTTTGGAATGAGAGACCTTGTTTTGGATATGTTTGCTGACTATCTCAAGAATCGAACCCAGGTTATCAAGATAGGGGAATGTATGAGTGATGAGCTTCCAATCGCTTACGGCGTCCTCCAGGGAAGCATTTTGGGGCCAATTCTCTTCCTCATCTACATTAATGACTTATATAAACTCCCGGTCCAACATTGCAAAATTTTCCCACATGCCGACGATACAGCGCTTGTAGTCGATGGAGAAGATTTTTCCCAGTGCTACCATAAAGCTAAAGCCGCACTCTCGTATGTAATGCGATGGCTGAACATTAACTTGCTTACCCTACATTTTAATAAAACTACATTTATACCGTTTGCCATTAGATCCAATTCATGTCCTCCAAGCTATCTTTCCCTGAAAGCTCATACATGCATAAACTCTGCAAATTGCAACTGTCTAACAGTATCTAAAGCTGATCATATCAAATACTTGGGAGTATATATAGATCAATATCTAAATTGGCACAAACACTTCAATTTACCCTCAAATAGAACTCACAAGTTAATCTATATCTTCAAAAAACTGCGTAATTCGGCAGATCTGGATACGCTAAGAATCGTTTACTTTGCTTTGTGTCAATCAGTTTTAAGCTATTGTGTACCGGTTTGGGGTGTAGCCACAGAAACAGTCTTCATTCGGCTGGAGCTCAGAGGGCAGTCTTGAATGTTATGTATTCACGACCATTCAGATATCCCACAAAGCTTCTTCATACAGAATGCAATCTTTTAACTGTCAGACAGCTCTATGTCCTAAAATGTGTGATTCGTAAACACTCGTCTCGTCCTCCTACAGAGCCTACTGGGAGACTTAAGTACGGGATTTTTCCTTTAGTTATAGTTATATAACTACCTAAATAAAGTTCTCAATGTTAAAATTATACTCACACACACACACACACACTCTAACACAAATAGGCACACACACATCACCTAACCCTTTTACTTATTATTTTCTTAAATGTTATTGTCCTTTTTTGTTTTTTAATCTCAACATATATGGCTTTGTATTGCATCAAAAACAACAGGGGCGCTGATTTCTAAAATACAGGTACTAAACTTAGTTAGAGATCAGCGTTTACTAACAGTAGTACATAATTTATATGAGCCTCATTTCTGTTTTATAATATGTACCTTTATTAAGTAATAAAAACATTATTATTTATTGTTTATAATTGCTTAAATTTCACAAAAACTTCATTGCGCTAAAAATACTAGTTTGCAAGTTTAAAAAATAATATTGACATCTCTTGAGCTTTTGACAAATCATTGGTTGATGACATGCTATTGACAATCAGCTGACAGTGTGTAATGTGAGTTTGTCATTAATCCTACATGTAATTTTCCGATGTAACACTACGTGAAACATAAATTGTAATATAAAATTAGCAATGTAAACATTACAACAAAATCACACCAAATTCAGAAATGATAAGACAATCACTGAAATACAGAAAGACATTAACAGTCTTGGGCATTCTGTGTACATGTAAGTACAGATTGAAATTTACACAAATGCTCGCCGCATATTTGAATTGTTGTTAAAACGATTTGGTTTATATCCTCACCGGAGTTTACTTGTAAACACACAGAACAAAAAATCTGCTACATACATAACGAACGAATAGCACACTAGTCGTTTTTGTTGATGTAAACAAATATATTAGGTACTCGATCTTAAATATCAAGGTGAAATAGTAAATTACTTTAGATACATTTCTAGTAATAAGCTAATAATACCTAAGTCACCACATATAATAAATTCTTAAATTATTTTCAGTGCTTTTATTCTTGATTCTTTCAAAAGACAACAAAATCAATGGAATGCACCAAAGTGTAGATGATATTCAGGACTTAAATTACAGAGGTTTTAACCAGCGACCAAAGAAGGATAAATTTATTATCATAGAAAATAAAATGGAAGGACAAATGGAGTCAAACAGTAAGGATGATGGTACAAAGCAAGAGTTATTAGAGGCCAAAACAAGAATTGAGCAGTTAGAAAAAAAAATTGCTATCCTTGAAGGGAGAATGCCACAAAAGTATCCAGAAGTTAAATATCTTGGATACAAAGAGAGGAAAAGAATATTGGTAAGTTCTAATAACATTTTTCTTTTTTTAATAATTGCGTATAACATTTTTACATGGTCATTAACTTAGAATATTATTGTATGTATAATATCCTGAATTGATGTACAATAAAGATTATTCTATTCTCTTTTAAGTATAAAAAATAATTCAGTAATTGTAATTTGTACTTGAGTAGAATAATAATTATTTGTGTGTGAGTGTTTCTGGAACCTTTCATGAGTCATGCTGGTATATTCTGATTGAAGTACTTATAACAGCTGGATATGATAGGCAAGTAAATTTGCTGTCTTAAGTTTGGTATTAACATCTTTTTATATAGGTATTCTCTATGTAATGTATGTGAGCAAAAGGATGTGTAAAATGATATCTAAGCCTATGTATTATACAGCCTACAGCCTCATAGAAAACTGTTGTTAAGCAATACATTTATAATTCTTTCCCGAGCGAGTGAGTGAGGTGAATAGAGGCTCACTCACCCCTCTGAGATGAGGTACTTAAAGGGTGGCACTTGTGTCTCTTTGAAGTGCAGATGTCCATGGGCGGCGATGTTCCTTCAGGTGACCCGTCTGCTCGTCTACCCCCACCAAAGTAAAAAAATGGTAACCACTTATCACCAGGTGATCCATCACATCGTTTGGCCCCTATACCTATACCATATATAAAAAACCATACATCTTGAGATTTATTATTAAGATTTAGTTATGATAAAACCCTCTAATAGATAGCATAAATCACAAATTCATTCCCATTTACTAGAATCAATAATTTCATAGTCAGTGGCTAGTCTCTCAAATCAGTGATGTTTATTATATAATTAAGTTTATGGGAATAAACATGCTTATGAAAAAGAAAACAGAGTACACCTTCCTAAAAGGCCGGCAACGTTTTTGTGACCTTTGAGTTGCAGAAGTTGATCTGCGATAATGGTCTCTTTCCATCAGGTGACCAATCTGCTCATCTGGCCCTCTCACGCCCTCTCACATAAAGAAAAAGTACAATAGGCACATTTGAAGTGCCTGATTTTTAACCAGGATGCACTGGCCATGATCTCAGTCTGCTTGTAAAAGGCATAATATACTAAATTGCTAATAACATGTAACTAACTTAACTAATGACATGCTTTAAAGAAATAAGTCTAGGTATATTAGATATATATATTATTTACTTTTTGCCTTCAATAATAAGTTATTCATACCTTCATATTGATATTATATTATCCTGAAAAAGGTTTGCTGCCTTGTAGTAAAAAAAAATATATAGGTATGTATTATATATAAAAACAAAATATTTTAAAAGTAGCAAACTATGTTGGATTTTTTTTCATTAGTAAGTGTTGTATTATTGTTGGAAATTGAGTGGTCCTTTTGTTTATGCTATTTGCAAGGATATTTAGTTAGGTACCTATTTGCTTATTTATATGTATGTATTTAAAAATATATAATTATGTTTATCAGCAGTCTAGTTAAAATAGTACAGACTCTGCCTAGTTTGGGATCAGACGGCCATGTGAGAGATGTGTAAGATATACATTATATTATATTTCTTGTTTATAGTGAGTTAGATAATAATGAGTAAAATGCAATTTCCATGACGACCATCAAGTCCCTTCTTTCTATGTTGCCGTTCCTTCACAATGACTAATTAAAAAAAATTACATTCTTTATTTCGAGTGTCATTGACAGCAGAACTATTATCTATTGTGATAAGCTTAGAATAGATGCTTACACAATTGATTTATTTCCAAATGTACACAACTTAATCATAATGTAAATAATGTTATCAGTAAAGAAGTAGTTTTAACATGATACTGTATATTAGACATAATAATAAATGTTATGTTACACTACAGGGAGAAATTTTAAATAAGATAAGTCCATTGTGACATGGTTACGCTTATTAGTGCTTAGAACGGCTTTTTTTTCATAAGAACCAAAACACGAATTTCGCGTTGTGGTTTCTAGGATTGCCACAACCCGATGTGAGCTGTTTTCGAACGTAACATATATATTTTTACAAATGTACCTACTTCCATAATCTGTGCACTAATATTCCAGAAATTATAATCGAAATTTTAAAGTAAAATCAGAAAAAGAAATCAATGAATTATAATTAAATATATTAGACGTGGGGTTTGCCACAACATGAATCAGAAGTGGCAAAAAGACTTAGTGCATTAGTTTACTTCATTGATTAGTATTTCTCTTCTCTTATTAGTTTTAAGAATGTGTTGAAGAATGCAGAGAATGCCTTGGGTATTAAGTCCGCCTTTGTACAACTAGTGCATTAAGTTAAATAAAGCTTTTTTGAATTGGAATTCATCTTAAGAGATGAATTATGTTCCAAATTCGACCACTAAACAATTTTGCGTTGCTATTCACCGAGAGAGAGAGAGGTTACCTATACCCAAACCTCTTCTTCCCCTGATTCTGTAGAGGAAGACTCAAAGGAGAGTATACCTGGTTCCCCAGCTACTGGTACCTGGAGACGGCGTGCGGTTTTTAGTCGGTTCGAGTCCGACATAACCACTCCACTGGTATGTCTGGTGGTATCTGAGGGGAGTTCCGGACAGAAAAAAACGGATGGGTTTAAAGGATGGTAACTCATCTGTGACTCGTAAGAAGCAGGTGCCCATGAGCGGCGGTAGTTACTTACCATCAGGTAACCCATCTGTTCGTTTGTCGTCCTATATCATAGAAACAAAAAATAAATATTTGTTTTCACGAATGGCAAGAAATGAATGTAGAGCAACTGTCAATATTATATACATATATAAGTAGGTATAAAATAATGTATCATTCCAGGTAACAGGCGGAGCAGGGTTTGTCGGTTCACATCTAATTGATGTACTTATGACACAAGGCCATGAAGTTATTGTAGTGGACAATTTCTTCACGGGCCGCAAACGAAATGTTGAACACTGGTTCGGCCACCGCAACTTCGAAATGATTCATCATGACATAGTTAATCCACTTTATGTAGAGGTACTTTCTCTTATAAATATTCTCTTATTATTTTCTTCTTATTTGTTGAGTGTATGTTCTATCATATTTTGATTTTTTAGGCAGACGAAATATATCACCTAGCTAGTCCAGCAAGTCCACCGCATTATATGCAAAATCCTGTAAAGACAATCAAGACTAATACATTAGGAACTATTAATATGTTAGGTATGTATAACATATAAATTTAAATTATACTTATCAAATGGAGGTGTGTACATATTTATGTATATATACATATGTTTGTATATCCTTGAACATTTTTGCGGCGCTATTTGAATTAGCTCATCGTTTGAAACATAATTATTTGTGGTAGGGATTAATATCACTATTTTGTTTGTAAAAAGTCATATTGGAAACATATATGTATCGTTTGCCAGTAAAGTAGTACAAGAGTAGCTACAAGAGTTGTGTAGCTCCATGAATGATATATAAAACATATATATCATTCATGACGATAAAATGTATCACTCACTCACACTTGCTCCGAATATATCAGTAACTCAGTACTAGCTCACTAGATCACTAGCTAAACGACGCCGATCTTTGTTTCATGAGCGAGTGAGACAAGATAAATGAGTCAGATAGGCGATGGTTGAGTTCACGCAAGTTTCTTTATTCAAAATATACATTATTTTTATAGGATCAAAGTTTAAAATTACTTATGAATTAAGCCTGACAAGTACAAGGAAAATCAAATTTTGTATGATTTCTGTTATACAACCTAAAAAAAGTACAAGAAAGATTTTTTTATTTTTAATTATTGTATAAAAGGCTGTTAATAATTATGCTAACTTATCAAAATGAATAATTTTGTATTTAAAAAAATAGGTTGCAAATGTAGTTTCAAAAACTGAATTTAGGTTTATATGAAAATAAAGAGTGATATACGAGTATACTGAGCTAGACGATCCAGATGAAGAAATGAATTAATTGAGAGACCAATCAATTGAATCGGATCAATGAGCTAGTGAGCTAAACGAGTTAGTGAGCTAAATGAGCTAGTGAGCTAGATGAGTGATATATATCTTTAGAGCGAAACGATATGTATCAATCTTTTCAGCTCAGTGATACATTTTGATACATACGCATCACTAGTAGCTACAAATGTAGCCAGATGGTAAAAATGCATATTGTGCATCTGCAAGTGTCTGTTGACTGGTTAATAACTCTATTCTACAAGTGTCTAGAATCCTTAAAAAATCAACCAATAAAAAATCTGAAAATTATGAGTGAATCAAATGAATTTCAACTTAGTGGTCTTGGTGGCTTAAAAGGTCAATAAAGGTTATTTCTTAATTTAATATGTCAAGAGCGTTCAAAGTAAAAGTCATCTATATTGAGAGGTCGCGTCAACACGGCCATTAAACGACATTATAATGTATACATTGGCTTGACGAAAACAGTAAACATCGAACGTATCCTAAAACATTCCACTTTTAAAAGCACTATAACATCGCTAAATTTATAATAACATAAGTATTTGTGTTATCATCTCACAGGAAACGAATGAATAAAAAACTCGTTATTTGTTTACCCACTTTATACTACCTATTAGCCGTTATTGGCTATTATATGGGTTGACCAAATAAAATATGTAGATAGATAATGCAAGCATAATAATCTTAAACATCGATCATTTGAGTAATGTGACGACTTGCACTGTTTCATGATGCAAATCAAAGATACCCCCATTTAACTGTGCATGCATTCTACTAAAAATCCTACACATTGGTGATCTCAGATAAAATTGACAAAAAAATATGCTTCGTTTTAAACACTATCTGATACCTATGTTCCTTGAACAACATAGTTTTAATAAGAGCTGTAATAAACTTACAGGACTAGCACGTCGCGTTGGAGCTAAAATATTAATCGCAAGCACATCCGAAGTATATGGCGATCCCATGGTGCATCCACAACCAGAATCTTATTGGGGTCACGTTAATCCTATAGGTAAGTCGTAACTATCGTTTGTAAAACCCCCAGTAAAGGTTTTATATGTCGTCCGTGAGCATGATTCTATTTGGAACGTTTTGATTGATTTATTCGTTAGAACAATAACTAGAATATTCATTTAGTCACATTTAGCACACCCTGATTAGATAAACTTGGCAACGCAACGAAACAGCATGTATATATACCATGAACCATATCTCAATAGAATGTGTTGTTTTTGTATGCCAAGTTACACAGGTAGATAGATAACACTATTTTGTACACTACATAGCGGTAGTATCATACAACATATGTCGAACAGATAATGCACAAAGGGAGGTCTTATGATAAATGTAATCTCTTAAAGCTAACCATAGAATGGATGAAGATACATATACATTTATACATATGTTGTATGATATTACCACTATGTGGTGGTAGTATGGTAGTAAACGTAGTAGTTGAGATGTGATTAAAAAATGTAATACAACTTGTGACTGCTAATAAATCCTCACATCCAACTTTGAATGTAATATGATTATATCGAATTGTGACCGAAAGTTATTTTCGATATTCTGCTAAAATTAGTAATACTTTACTACAAGAATACCTTTTATGACATTTTTGAGATCGAGAGTAGATCGGAACTGCATTTTGAACGAAATTTTATTACGAGTGTATATTGTAATTGACCTTCTGTAATGTCACTGTGCTTCCTTTAAACTTGAAAAGAAGAATAGAAAGGTACCTCATATTTTGTGAAGACCAGATACGTAGCGTAAATTAAGGTATGAGATAAGCTAACTGCTTTAAAATTAATAACATTCAATAAAAACTTTTAGTTCAAATGGAATATGGAACACGTAAACAGACTAAGTATAAATGCTTACGTCATACATATTAGTGATGGAATAATAAGTCTTCACACCCTTATTTAAAAGTGAATTAAGATTCTTATTTTTTTTATTGGTACAAAAAAGGTACACAGTTTAAACAGTAAGATGCCGCATAAACACAGTCGAGTTATTCCGTGCATCAGTGTCATCACTAATACATATTTATATATACCTACTTAAATAGTTAATTCTTCTAAATTAATACTTTGACTAAAGTCACAAAATCACACACATTTTCAGTGGGATTGTAGGCTGTAGGTTCATTTAGTTCGCACTGCGTAATACGTCACCGACGCTACAGCAAATTGCCGATCATTGCCGACCGGCGACCCGATCGCAACAGGTTTTATACAATAAGAAACGCGATATACAGAGTGATGCATTACAGTTAAGGTAATCGATGCAAGTTTAAAAGTATTAATGTCATAAAAAATCTTTCATTTCATGATCGATATGTATGCATGCATATAAACGTAGGATATGGTTATAAATTATTCCATATATTTTGCAAGAAGTATTGTTTTAGTTTACTTTTAAGATTTTATGGAGTTAATTGTTTTTTAAGTGATACCTGTAATTCGTTAATCAGAAATGACATATGCTAATTTTCTTTTACCGTAACTGTTTGTGTATTTAGGCAAAATTAACTCATATTTCAGGATCTGGCGTGTTTGAACCGTATTACTATATTATACGTTTTTCGTTAAAAAAATCTTCATTTAGTAAAATGCATTGCATAGTAAACTGCATTAGCAGTTAGCAAATTAATATAATATTATTAGCAAATTATTAGCAGTTAACCATTTCGTGAACGTATAATTTACGTACATGAAATTTCGTCGTTTCATTCGCTAACGCTTCATATTCACATAGAGCGTGCTTTCTCATTCACATCAACTCAACGCGAAGACTAAATTTAATTTAATAAATCGTCGTGCTAAAATAATTATACAACTTCTAATGCTAAATTGCTAAATGAACCAAAAATGAATCGTCTGTTGTTACGTTTAAGTACCTATTTCCTTCGGAACAGTGACAGACCGCGGCGCGATTACCTAATGCTGTTTCTGAGAGTGCAAAGGATATTATTGTCTATTTGTAACTGTAACTGTTTCAGGGCCACGAGCGTGTTACGACGAAGGCAAGAGAGTAGCGGAAACATTGGCGTACGCTTACGCCAAACAAGAGAAAGTGTCTGTACGAGTTGCCAGAATATTCAACACATACGGACCGCGGATGCATGTGTCTGACGGCCGTGTGGTGTCCAACTTTATCATGCAAGCTATACAAAACTTAACTATTACAGTAAGGAATAATACTTTTATAAATAAATATACGTAGCCGTTATTCACGAATTCTTATTTGCTTGAGTGATCGATCTAGTTCTGACCTTAATCGGGAAATTCGATATCTCATTGAATGCTTATGAATGACTTCATATCATCAACAGACTTTAATGTGAATGCCAGTTAGCACCTAAGACTAGGCAAGTAAAAAAATTAAAAAAAGGACTGTCAAGGAAGCCTAATCATAATAAAAAACATATACTCCTTACTCGAAATAGAGCACCGTGCTAGTAAACTTTAAACTTCTTTCTATCTTACATTCTTACCACTTGCCGACCCCGTCATTAATTTTTAGTTAAAGCTAAAAAAGAAACCGGTGAACCTATTACTACTATTTTTATTCAAAAATGGCTAGTCAATGGGCGTTTCTGTAGTTTCTCGTGACTCTCTTTGAACTCTCTTGGTATAATTTATTTTCAGGTGTATGGTAATGGGAAGCAGACCCGCTCATTTTGCTACGTTTCTGATCTCATCGATGGCTTGTTAGGGCTGATGGCGTCCAGCTACACGTTACCTGTCAACCTTGGCAACCCTGTCGAACATACTATAGAAGGTTCGTACTTTATTTTCTATTATATAGGTAACCACGACTGCGGCTTTTATATCGGGTTAGTAGAGTCTATATATGTATCAGCTGTACTAGCATAATATGTAGAGTCATTCGTGATTGATGGTAAACAGGTCTTGTTTTGAGATTTGTTGATGAAATAGTTACTTAATTGAAGTTGGTAACCTTACTGCATCATTTTTACTCTTGGAACCGCTGCAGACAAAAAGAGAATGCTTCAATGGTCTATCAACAACAACGATTGTAAAAGACCACAAAACGGGCACGGCAGTAGAAAACAGAAGAAAACCTAAACAAAATGAATTACCCGCATGTGACCGACGCAAAATGCTTCTGAGTATGCTCTTAATTTGTAAATCACTGCGATATATGGTACATTCTCTAGTGCAGATACTGTATTTAAAATAATTGTTAGTCATTTAGCGTTCCAGCAGTTGTGAAGATTGCTTGCAATACAAAAACGGCCTTTATGGAGTAGTAGTAGCTAACTTTATGCGACCATAAAGTTACATGACGTAAAAATTGTGTTGCAGAATTTGCCATGATAATTAAGAATCTAGTCCCGGGATGTAGGAGCATGGTGGCAACAGGCGCGGCGGTCGAGGACGACCCACAGCGTCGCCGCCCGGACATTACCGTCGCCGAGGAACACTTGGGGTGGAAACCTAAAGTTAGTCGCATTATTACATGTCATTTAACCCCATCCCATTTAAAATAATTCTTAAAATGTCTTTAGGAGTGACACCTGTAGAATGTGCGTAATAAATAAGATCCATTGAGAGTATTTAAAACAGTAAATGATCTTTATGCTATGCGAACTGAAACACCTCACAGAACGTATTTAGCCGATCACAATAATAATCACATCGTTAACCTTTTAACCGCCCGGTTTTATATCAATTGGCGTGCTCCCAGCGCTCACAAATCAAAAAGTTGTGCAGTTGTGCATTACGATAATATCGACGAATACCTAATATTGCTATTTGTATTTGCTATAATTATAAATGAATCATAAGCAACAGTTTAGGATTAAACAATTTAATTTTAATTTCTACGACAACAGCAATCTATCTACAGCTACAAGTACCAAATTTGATGAGCCAATCAAGAATCAGTTAGTACGTTATAGTAAACAAAAAAACTCAAATTTACGTCATTAATGACATTTATTGCGTCTTTGTTGATATTTCTTATTAGGTATAATACATCTGATAAAATAAATAATTAAGTAATCAATAATAAATCTAATAAAACATTTCAAGCGAAAAAACACATAATATAAAATAAGTAAAATACATAACATAAAATTAAAACGTAAAAAACTTATTCACAAAAACACGCACAACACTAATGGAAAATTTCATTCGGTTTGCCTCGGTTATGACGTCACAGGCGGTCGTGTTTATCTGACACGGGCGATGGCTATACTTTCATAAAATGATTTAGATAACATGGTCATTTCAGGGACAGGAATTTGCATCTATAGTCGCCGGTACATAAATAATTAAATCGCTTATTTCTTAAAGGAATTTAAAATTTACACAGTAGAACGTGCACAACTAGTTATTAATGCATATATTAACATATTTTTATTTATGCATATTCCTTAGCTTAAAAATTCCAACGTATGTGTCTCGTCATAACTGTTGTATGAATACGACACGGGCGTTACAAGTCAATAAACTTTCTCATGGATAAGATTAATAAATTTGCCATTTAGAAATAGTAATTTTCGATGTTTCTAGATATTAGGGAGTGCTTAAATTACTAAATAAAAGGTTTGATAGACAATCTATTTAAAAAATTACTATTTAAAAAAAACAGTGTAATAAGCTTAGAAATCTAAGAAAAAATACAACAGGTTTTTAGTCGAGTATATGACAAGAGGAATGGGCCCGAACATTTTTGACGAATGTTCCGATTTGGGCCTTTAAAAGGTTAATCCTTTTTTATTTTGTGTGACAATTCATAATTATTTCCTTAGCTAACACTGTCATTGTTATTTTGTGTTTTGGCCCTCTTTACCCCAACAGGTGATTCATGAAATAAATCATTGTAAAATGTTAAATAAATAAATAGTAATAAAAATTTGACGGTACGAAATTGTCAGTTGCCATACAATTATAATTTTCTACAAATCATACCGTTTTGTCTTTTAATAAAGACAAACTATTTTAACTGTACAAACTGCATTGTTGGAGCTGTTGTCGGATGTACTCAATTTACTTTTTGTTACGAATAATTAACATATTTTTATTATTATCCTCAGGTCTCGTTACAAGTTGGCTTACAACGAACCATCGATTACTTTAAGGAAGAATTGTCGAGAACCACGTTTCTTAATAATCAAACTTACATGGACATGAAGAGCCATCACTAATCTCAATGATTCAAAATATTTGTATGTGATATTTGGATACCAACGTGGGAATACGTGAGTAAGAAAAGAAAATAATAAATTGTCCTGTTATTATTATGACTTTTTGTTAGTCATGTTACAATAGTTACTGTTACCCTTGAATGATAATGTGTAGTATATTCTTATTTAAGTATGTTAATTTGTTTACAATAAAAATGCACAATTTCACAATGTTTCAAAACAATTTTATTTATGTCATTTAAAAAAAGTTACAAATTGACTATTCTTGGAACATAATTTTAATATAACTTTAACTGCACACACAAAACATTTCATATTTTTTTTGACTACTGCATTTACATTTCGTATAAATTATTTAAGTTGAGGAAACATAAAAACAGCCTGAAAAACAGGTAAACCTAAGAAAATTTATATCGACCATAACGATGTTATTCCGTATAGTATTCTGTGATTTTCATGTAGATCTCTATGTACGAGGGTAGCCTGAAAAGTTGCCGACCTCAACACGAAGATGGCAGCACTCGTGAATAAGAGTTAGTGAATTTCGTTGTTTATCTGTTGACAGTTACTCGCCAAAGTTTCAGGCATTTTGGACGCGCAGTTGTTATGTAACAGTCGTTCGAGCTGTCATTTTTTTTTTTAAAGGCAATATTGGGGCACTAATGTTTTTGGTCCGTGTGAATACAGAGTGTCACCACCCCTATTCATCCCGTGGGTGTCGTAAGAGCTGAGAGACTAAGGGAGAAACTACGCAGAACAACAGCACTGCAGAGAGAAGAAAAACCTGATACAAGCCCTATACCAACCCGTCTGATCAGCGTGGTATAGTAGGCCAAAACGTCCTTTTTAAGGAGGGGCCTATGGCAGTGGACTATTAATGGCTGTTGATGATGTGTGAAAGGCAATACGCCCGAAGCAAATCAAAGATGAGTTGGATTCTGTGTATGGGGACTCTGCGCCATCATTTATCACAGTGAAATTTTGGGCAGCTGAATTTAAACGTGGCCGTAAGAGCTTGGGAGACGATGAACGTTCGGGACGTCCAAAAACTGCAACTACCGACGAAAACATCGCCAAAGTTCACCAAATGCTAGACGACCGCCGAATTAAAGTCGGAGAGATAGCAGAGGTTATAAACATGTCAAAAGAACATGTTTGTCACAAATCAACATTTAGACATAAGAATGCTGTCCGCGCGTTGGGTGCCGCGTTTATTCACGTAGACCAAAAACATGTTCGAATGAACATTTCTAACGCTCTGTTAGTACAATTTAGGCGCAATAAAGCCGAGTTCTGGCGCCGATTAATTACTGTAGATAAAACTTGGATACACCATTATAAGCCCGAAACAAAAATATAGTCCAAACAGTGGACTGCAAAGGGGAAACCGGCTCCAAAAAAGGCAAAAACTTTTCGGCTGGGAAAGAGTTTTCCTGGGAGACTGTTTTTTGGGATAGTCATGGAGTTATTTTAATCGATTATCTCCAAAAAGGAAAAACCATTACAGTAGCATACTACGCATCATTACTTGACAAGCTGAAGGCAGAACTTGCGGAAAAACGGCCACATTTGGAGAAAAAGAAAATCCTGTTTCACCAAAACAACGCACCGTCTCACACCTCAGCCGTTGCCATGGCGAAAATCCACGAATTACGGTTTGAACAAGCGACTTCTTCTTGTTCCCTCATCTAAAAATTGCGCACGGAGACCTTCGTGAACAATTGTTTTGCAGAGAAAAACGCAGAGTACTATTTGGACGGGTTACAGAGGTGGGAGCATCGCTGGGAGCAGTGTGTAAAGTTACAAGGAGACTGTTGAAAAATAAAAAAAATAAAACTGAAAAAAGGTCTTGTATCTTTGTTAGGTCGGAAACTTTTCAGACCACCCTCGTGCATACCTCCATATCAATCAAATAGCTAAATAATACTAGCTATTATAACGAGTATAAACTGAAAATTTTAAATGGTATCCCTGCCTGAATAATGCCTTTTAATGATTGGAAAGCAGTTGACAATCTTGAAATAGTTATCAAATTACTCTTATAATTACTGGTCTCTTGATAATGACCCAGGCAATAAATAAAAAAAAAAATGGTACTACTTACACTTAGTGTTAGTGTATACTAAATTACATTCCCCAAACAGTCATAATACTGCTGAATGACGATGAACACATTTTCGGGAATGCATTGCATACCCTTGGAATCATGAACGAATTAATTGAAAGAGGTTTTTTTTTTATGAAAGAGATAGCAAACGGGTCACTTGATTGAAAGTGACTAAAAAAATAAAATTTAACAATTCATTCCGAAGATTCTAGCAATACTTGACTGGTTAAGATTACCTAGATATCTATTCTACAAGCGTCTAGAATCCCTAGAAAAAAGAATTAACGTTTACCAATAAAATAAGCTTAAAATAGCCGTCACTAACACACGCAATATTATTATGTTAAAATCAAAAAATGACTTCTTGAGGCATATATAGGTAAAAATTTGGCCTGCATCTGGTTCTAGATGCAATCTTTTACAGTGGAACTGGTCTAACTCAAAACGCAGTTAATAACAATGAGGAAGTCTTGAAAGAGAAAAAGTCATAATATGACTAGTGTCATCAACAAATGTCATCCCATAATGATTTTTTAAACAGTGTCGCTTTTCTTAAAACTTGGGCTTAGACTTGGCATTTTGGGGTCAGTTTATTGCGAAATTAGCTTTAAGTATTAACAATTACCATGCATTTAATGTATGATTACAGGTCAAAGCTTATTGGCTAAACAAGACAACTGTAATAGTTGTAGTCTTTAGACGAAACAGCTACAATTATTCAAAAATCAGTCACAGGATCTACAAACAGATGTTCAGAATATCAGACGTAGAAAGCCGTTAGTCGTTATGAGCTAAAATTAGAAATGAAGAACCATTGTTTTTGGAGTTCTGACTACTGTATCGGACCACCCCAAGCTTAACTTACAACTGGTTCCTAGTGATCTAATTTACAACACATACTGGGTAAAACATCCCACTTATACCTATATGATTTTCGTAAAATACTCTCAGTCTTACAAAGTTTTTCTCCATGTGTGTGTACAAGCGTTTTGTATAGTTGAAACATATCACTTGGAGTCTGTTTGTGACGCACTAACATTTGTATTGAGCATCCTCGAGTCTTCCATTCAGTGTCGAATCGGATGTCATGCACTCTATTCACACCATCTAAAGCAGCGGTCCACACCCCCATGGAGACATCTTCAGAATTGTAATGTCTGCAATAAGATACACGTCAAAGATATAAGATACCCAAAAAGGATAGAAATCTTTCATCCATTTTGTGGACACTACCCAACTAACTTGCCCAATATTTACAAGAAAATATCAAGTAGGTAGGTAGTAACCCGTGATTACTACCTACCTACTTGATATTTTCTAAATAAATAATATTTATAAGTAAATACCTACTGCATATTTGTAGAAGGTATAGGTTTAGATTTAACTTAATTGATCTAACATATTACATTTTGTCATTTATTTTTTCCTTCATCATCATCAACAGCCTATAATAGTCCACTGCTGGAGATAGGCCTCCCCTTAGAAAGGAGGTTATTTTTTCCTTAATTTGTGTAAATTAACGGTAACACAATAGAGTCATGCAGTTGTATCTGTTAAAGCAGATATCGTATAGGAACATTGATTCAAGCAATTTACGTTTATTTTTTAATGTTACTACTTTGACTAAACAAACGAAATAACCAGAAATGGCAATTTCGTTGCGTTAAATGCCGTGGATGTGGGTGCGAGGGGTATACCAGTTAAATATGGTCATCAAACCATCATACCGTTATAATTAAAGTAAACAAAAAAATAAAATTATTAGGTAGAAGGCGTAACACAGCAGTCAATGGAGGTGAGCGCTGACGCGTTGCAAGGAATACTCCCTTAACCTACTCCTGGGTCGCAAGTCCCAGGCGCTGTCGCAGTTGCATGTGTTACCTACATCTATCACGATGATCACCTGCACGGTAAATCAATGGAAGGCTAAAAAATTTATATAACTTAATGTTATGTTGTGGTGATGAATGTTAGTTAGTTAGTTTACTAATATTCTTATTGACTGTGTTGACCTGTTGTTGTTGAGTGACTCATGGCAGTGATGTCACATCTTATTATAAGAATAAGTATTGTTATGTGTTAGGGTTCGTTGATTTGGAATAATAAGCCTACTACAGAGACTTTATTATCACTTAAAAACGTTTACACAATACTCAAAAATAGTCCAGAATGATCGCCGGGGTCGCTGGGTGACACTATTGAAGTGTGCACGCTTCGATTTTTATCGCACTGCAGCTCGAACTGAACTAACTCCCAAGAAGACGTGTCCGTATTTATAATACTCTTAAAAGATCTTTCTAGAAAATGCCAATCCCTACGAAAACCGTCCTCTTTGAGAAATACAAATTCGTTTCGAATGTAAACAAGACAATCGTGCGACAATCTATTTTTGATCTTATGCGCATTTTAATTTAATGAGTGTTTTTGAGTTTAATTATTTTTTTATCTTAGCGGGGGTAGACGAGCAGACGGGTCACCGGACCGCCCATGAACGTCTGCAACTCAGGAGTCACAAACGCGTTGCCGGCCTTTTAGGAAGGAGTACGGTCAATTGAGATTTCGCGAAGTTTCGTGACACTGCACCCCTCTTAGAGATGCTCGTCCAGAGCATCGCTATTGCTGCCGCCAGGAGGTCGATGCACCACTTTGAATGGCCCTCTTCGTTGTCGCTTAATCCTGTAGGTCACGTCGTTCATCCGGGTAATCAATCCGCTCCTCCCACTTGATCTGTAGTTTAGGGGACTTCCCTCTTCTACGGGTCGGGTTATGCAGCCAAATCAGTGCACCTTCTTCGAAACCGTTTGAATTAGCACGCCGGTCATATCTGGTTTTCATGTTCTCGCTCGCGTGTATACCATTTTCCCGGACCACGGCGTGTACTTCTCGCATTTTTATCCATGGATCAAATACGTAGTCAGTAACTGTGTGAGATACGTCCGGTGACCCTCCCGTAAGTAGGTCTACTGGTATTCGAAGCTTTCTACTGAAAATTACGTATGCGTGAGTCGCCTTTGAGCTTTTATGCTCCGTCGATCTGTAGGCGAGGAGGAACAATGGAATGTAATTGTTCCAGTCACGCTGATGAGTGTCCACTAACTTTGCCAGAATTGTCTAGAGCATCTGATTAAATCGTTCTACTATTACATCCGATTGGAGGAGGTATGCGGTGGTTGAGTCTTATGCAATCCCAAAATTCAACATACTTGTTGAAACACTTGTGACTCGAAGTTCCTGTCCTGGTCTGAATGGATTTCTAAAGGCACGCCAAACCGGCATATGACTTCCACCAATTTCGTCGCGACCGTTTTAGCTTCCTGATGAGGTATGGCTAATACTTCTGGCCACTTGGTGAAATAGTCCATAACAACCATGAAATACTTGTTACCCCGACTCACTAACAGGAAACGGTCCGGCGACATCAACAGTAATTCGTTCCCAGGGTGCGCCAACATTGTACAGCCGCAGGTTCCCTCGGCTCCGCGTCTGTGGGCCTTTTCAGCAGTACAATTAGTACATTTAGGGCACCAGTTTTGTACATCTTGCCGACAATGAAGACAGTAGAACCTTTCGCGTACTTTTATAAGTGTCCTCTTGACGCCAAGGTGGCCACCTGAAACACCATCGCGTACTTCAAGGAGGACGTCTGGCACCTTAGCTCTCGGTACAACTATCTGCGGGGGTAATCTCTGCCGTTGGTCTTCTCCCATTTTCGGTAAAGTACCCCTTCTGTAGAAATAAGCTATCCCATTTAAAAAAAAAAATATTGTACCACATTCACACAACGCCATCTAGTCCCAAACTAACCAGAGCTTGTACTATGGGTACTAGACAACTGACATAAATACATATATACTTTTTTTTTGAAAATACATACTTATTATACATACTTATTTTGCCCAATAAGCTTTGGTGATAGCACTTGTAGAGGAGACATCACTACAAGCAGGTTTAACATCACCTCGTGCTTTCCACGTGATGAGTTGTTGTAGGTAATAGTCATGACCCTGTGCTTTCTTCATTGTCTCATCTACCCAGGGTCCCAAAGAAGTAACCTTGGTGAATGGTCTACGTGACAGTGCGTCCGCGTTCCCGTGAGACTTTCCACCACGGTGTAATGTGTCGAAGTCGAATTCCTGGAGTTGTTCAATCCATCTGGCAACTTGAACTTCTGGGTTCATGAATTGCAGCAGCCACTTCAATGCTGCGTGATCAGTGCGCAGTAAAAATCGTCTGCCAAGAAGATATATATTGAAGTGCTGTAACAGTTTTACCACAGCCATGAGTTCTCTTCTTGTCACGCAGTAGTTCCTTTCCGGTCTTGATAGTGACTTGCTGAAATAAGCAATAAAAACTTCTCTATCACCCTGTTTTTATAACAACACTTCACCGATTCCGTGTAGCGTCAGTGTCGACGATGAATTGACCTTCACGTTGTGGATATCCTAAAATTGGTGTTTCACACAGATGTTTCTTCAGTTCATGGAATGAATACTCACAGGTCTCATCCCAACAGAATGGTCTTTTATCTTCTGTCAGTCGATGCAACACCTTAGCAATCTAGGAAAATCCCTTGACGAAGCGTCTGTAGTACGAACACAGACCGAGAAATGCTCTTTCCTCCGTCTTATCTTTGGGAGTAGGCCACTTTTGAACTGCTTTTACTTGCACTACAGTTCTAATGCCCTCACTGCTTATAACATGGTAAATGTAATCAACTTTGTCAATAAGTGACACTTTATCGGGTTCTGATTTTTTAAATGGTCCTCGAAGTCACGTGCAGCGATGATGACGTCGCCCAAGTATCCTAGGCAGGCGTCCCCTACTAACTCTGCCAGTACACACTCCATGAGGCGTTCGATAGTAGCAGGTGCGTTACATAATCCAAAAGGCATAACATTGAACTGTCACAATCCTTTGCCCGTTGAGAATGCAGTCTTCTCCTTATCTTTTGGATGTATTTCCACCTGCCAGTATCCCGATTTTAAGTATAGGGTCGAGAACCATTTCATGCCGCTGAAAGTATCCAGCGTGTCGTCGATTCGAGGTAGCGAATAACTGTCCTTCTTTGTGATGTCATTAAGTCATCTGTAGACCACGCAGAACCGGATACTTCCATCCTTTTTTTTCACAAGCACGACAGGTGAGCACCATGGACTTGCAGATGACTAAATGATTCTGTTCTTTTTCATCTCTTTCAGCATGCTTTCTACGTCTTTTTCCTTTGGTCAAAGGTCTCCTTCCTGATTAGTGAAGTTATTCACGTTTACAACCCTGTATGAATATTTCTTGGTCGCCACACTTAAAAACTCCATCCAAAGTGATTTTTCATGAAGTCTAACCCCAAAATACAGTCATCCATAATTTCAGCTACGATGACGTTATGGATGTACGATATCTGCCCAATGTGGAGGAAAGAAGTCTACAAGTAACCTTCTTCTCATTTCTCTAGGTCCGGTCGCACTATTGTCTTCGAGGCTCCTGTGTCCAGCGTCATCTTGCTATCTGTTCCGTTTATGTTGCCCAGAATTACGAGGTTGTTTCCAGTGCTAACCTGCATTATTATTAAACGGTTCCCGAAATTGGTTAATCAAGTTTAATCCGGTTAATCGAGCTTTCGCGAAGTTTCGTGACAGTATCTTCATCAATGGGAACAACATTTAGAAATACACTTGCTAATTAAATTTTAACTGAACAGTGGTTAAATGCTTATTGTTATTGCTCTCTCTATTGTTTACTCTTTGGATCACTTAAATTGCTCAATGTAAATAGCCATGAAAGTAAATTTAGTAGAATTTTGCTTACCCCAAAATATCAGCATTTCTTCCTATATACTCGACAATGCTCCGTGAGATTACATAACCACCTCCGAGTGCATATGGCAAGTAATTGTCACAAAGGAACCAGTCTTTTTCCTGCCACTTTCCATTTAAGTAGACATGTGCTCGACCATCGAAATAACCCCAGTATAAGCCCTTATAAGCTGGGAGATCTTTCTGAAAAAAATTCTAATTAACACAAACCATTTTTTTTTTGTTCCTTTTTTAATACAGCAATCTGTCTCTCGATCAGGACACTAAGCGATAGATTAGGCATAATTTGTAGGTCGTGTGCGACCAGTGCCGTACCCTATTATAGTTTAATGTGCTCTTATCACAGCACATCCTGGGGGATTCTGAGCTTTAGTCGACGTATTTTCAGACTGTTGTCCGATTTGCGATTGCGATTTGCTAAGCGATTTGGCCAACATATTTGGGTGGTTTAACATTCTGTCCCTGTATGCCAGAGTGTGTAGTTATTTCCTCCCTGAATTTAGGCATTTTAAGATCGTTGTGCAGTTGTTCGTTAGTCACAAACCAAGGGGCACCAGTAACTATGCGTAGCATTTTGTTTTGAAAACGTTGTAAGATCTCTATGTTGGAGTGTAAGGCTGTTCCCCATAGTTGTATGCCGTACGTCCACACAGGTTTGACTATGGCTTTACGAGGGTGGTCTGAGAAGTTTCTGACCTCAACAGGAAGACGGCAGCACTCGTGCATGAAAGCTAGTGAATTTCGTTCAACTGTTGAAAGTTAATCGCCAAAGTTTCAGACATTTTGGACGCGCAGTTGTTATGTAACAGTCGTTTGAGTGAGTTGATGTGAGTGTTTTTATAAAATGGACAAAATCGAGTATCGAGCTGTCATTAAATATTTGATTTTGAAAGGCAATACGCCTACGCAAATCATAGATGAGCTGGATTCTGTGTATAGGGACTCTGCACCATCATTTATCACCGTAAAATTTTGGGCAGCTGAATTTAAACGTGGCCGTAAGAGCTTGGGAGACGATGAACGTTCGGGACGTCCAAGAACTGCAACTACTGACGAAAACAGCGCCAAAGTTCACCAAATGGTACTAGACAACCGCAGAATTAAAGTGAAAGAGATAGCAGAGTTAAGAACATGTCAAAAGAACGTGTTTCTCACATATTTAATCAACATTTAGACATAAGAAAGCTGTCCGCGCGTTGGGTGCCGCGGTTGCTCACGTTAGACCAAAAACGTGTCCGAATGAACATTTCTAACGCTCTGATGGCTCAGTTTAGGCGCAATAAAGCCGAGTTTTGATCTCACCCCAAGAGGCTAAATCTCTCACAAGATCTAGCCCCAAGCGACTTCTTGTTCTGTTATCAAAAAATTGCGCTCGGAGGACAGAGATTTTCTTCAAATGAAGAGTCCTTCCTGAGAATCACCTTCGTGATCAATTATTTTGTAGAGAAAAATGCTGAGTACTATTTGGATGGGTTACAGAGATGTGAGCATTGCTGGGAGAAGTGTGTAGAGTTACAAGGAAAAAATTTGAAAAAAGGTCTTGTATCTTGGTTAGGTCGGAAACTTTTCAGGCCACCCTCGTATATGGTAGAAGTTTATTTTCCATTAATAACTGAGACTTACAACCAATGAGCCAGTAGAGTTTTCTTAACTGTAAAATAAGCTGTTCTCTCCTGGTAAGAATGTTTCTTCCAGGTAAGACGGGTACAGTCCAAGATACCGCACGTGGTATGTCCGAGGGACTTCTACGTCGTTCAGCTTGACTGGTGGACAGTACTCTCTTCGCAGGGTGAAAGTAACGTTAACCGACTTGCTTTCGTTAGTTCTGATCCGCCACCGATTTTTAGCCAGTCGGCTATGTTATCCAAACCTTCTTGTAGTAGATTGGCTGCGATTTCTGTGGGTGGCCTTTCGGCCTTTCGGTGGTATATTTAGTGGCTGGAAAGTCAATTTTGACGTGAGTTCTGTTAGCAGTTTTGTGACTATTAACATCTGATTCATAACAGCTTCCATTGTTTTATTTAACTTTAGCAAGAAAGATTCCGTTGTTTGTGTGTTTGTGATGTCTTTTGTTGGTAAGTGGTTTTGGACTATTTGGCTATATGTTGGGTTAGTTGCTCCAGTTGCCGAGTTATTTTGGACTGTAGGGGTTACTAAGGGTTTTTTAGTGGTAGCGCTGGGTACTGGCTAACTTCATGCTGGAGATCTTTGAGTGCCAATTTGATTTCTTCTAAATCAGTAAGAAAGAATAGAAGAAGAAAGAAAACATATATACATTTCTTAGAAGAAGGATGCATATGTTTTAGGACTATTCTAAAGCTATGTTTGCCTTTGGGTTGGTAGGTGAAGAATTCAGTGTTCCTTCTTTTCAACTCATTGTAAATAGTTTTGTATGACTGTGCAGTGTTCGCCTTAATTTTAACTCTCTCAGACTGTAGTACTTTAATTTCAAAATTGCCTGGTATTTCAATCATATTAATTAAAAGCTTGTCTACTCTCTCAGAGCTTCAAGGCCAATAAATCTGTTAGAAGTTGAAAAAGATGCACTGCATAAATCTGTTAGAAGTTGAACAAGGTGCAAACCAGTAGCTATTGAGTTTTGTTAGTTTTTGGTTTTTCAAGCATTGTACTGGGCTGCGATGTCTTTTTCGTCCTGCGACCTCTTCCCAGGGCTCTGCAGCGGTATTGCATTGTGTTTCTTCCTTGTCCAAATTAATTGGCTCACTGGTGTCTCTTACAGGTGACTTTACACAATAGTTTGATCTTGTTCCATTTATGAAGAGGCCTTTGTGATATATTTTTTGGGTTAAGATTTTAGGTCACCAGGGACTTCCTTTCACCAGGGACTTCTTTTCTAGGGTATACCTGGTTCCCCGGCTATTAGTATCCGAGACGGCGTGCGGTTTTAGTCGGTTCGAGTCTGACATGCCACCGATAGGTGGTATTGGTACAATAGGTATTGGTTGTGGGCTTCGGTTTCCGCATTTAGACTCAGAGTGGTCCTTTATGCGTCGAGGATTGGTTGACTAGGTGAGCCAGCCAAGCTCCTTTCAGAAGCGCAGAAGCCTCCTGGGGCGTTCACAGGCTTCTAGGAGCGACTTTATATCAGGAATGATACTTGCCCGTTGTGTGGCCACTCCCTCGCATTCCAGGACTACGTGGACGGCCGTTTCTTCAGCTTCCAGACATCCCCTGCACAGGGGACTGTCCGTCGCATTGATTATGAATAGTTGTCGGTTCAGGGCTAGATGCCCCGTAATAGTTCCGACACCCATTCTGATTTCCGGTCTGCTAAGACTGATCAGTCTGCAGGTGAGTCGTGGTGTGACTTGATTCAGCACCAGTTTGGACTGTCTGCAGCCGGGTGAGTTTTTCCACCTCCGGTTGTGTGCTTCACAGGTCCGTTGCCTGACCCAGCATCGTATTTGGTTAAACGATATGGGCAGGAGTGGGGTTGGGCCAGAGGTTGGGGTTGCCGAGCCCCTCCTTGCCAACTCATCTGCGGCATCGTTCCCGTGTGAGTTACTGTGCCCTTTAATCCATTGGAGGATTACCCCATTGAATATAGCGAGCTGTTCCAGTGCTTGGTGGCATTCGAAGACAATACCAGAGGTCATTGTGTTGCCCTCCAATGCCTTTAAGACGGCCATGCTGTCGGATATTATTCGGATGTTGTCGTCCTTGATACCCCTTGACATGGCCGTTGTGGCAGCGTAAGTTATTGCCACACATTCACATTGAAATATGGAACTATGTTGGCCTAACGCTAGTGATATGTTTATATTTAGGTCTTGCGAGAAAACTCCGGCTCCAGTTCCTGACCTAGTCTTGGAACCGTCCGTGCAAATTCCCACTTCGTTAATGCCGGATTGATCTCGGTCATTTCCATGTATCCGGATGTAGTATCTTCTTGTGAAGATATGGTGTTTTGGGATTCTATCGCATGGAGCTGCTATCAGTGGTTCGTATTCCACCAATTGATCCCATAATTTGGAGTGCGATCCCTCACTTTTGTGCCATAGACCCAGGTGTTTGAGTCTAATGATCGCCATGGCGGCCTCCTGCTGTATTAATAGATCCAGGGGTGGCAGACCAAGAGCCACCTCCAGTGCGGCAGTAGGCGTTGTGCGCATACAGCCAGTGACCGCGGAACATGGGAGTCGCTGGAATTGCTGCAGTTTGTTTATGACGGTGCTTAGCTCTGTTCTCTGCCACCAGACAACAGCACCGTAAGTGATTATTGGTCTTATGACTGTCCTGTATAGCCATAAAGTAAGTTTGGGTGATAGTCCCCAGCTTTTGCCGAGTAGCCGCTTGCATTGGCAGAAAATAATGCAGGCTTTATTCAGTTTTTCATCGAGGTGCTTATTCCACAGGAGTTTACTGTCCAGTATTACTCCTAGGTATTTGACCTCTTTGGTAAGAGTTAGTTGTGTTCCAAATAGCTTGGGAAGTCTGAGATTTCCTAGGCTGCGTTTGTTTGTGAACATGATCATCTCTGTTTTGGATGGGTTCACTGTCAGGTTGTGTGCTACGCACCATTGTTCCACGATCTTCAGTGCAAGTCTCATTTGATCGCATGTAATGCTCTCAAAAGGACCGCTGATGAGAATAGTAAGATCGTCTGCATAGCCTATTGTGAGGAATCTTTGATCATTAAGTTGTGTGATGAGCTCATCCACAACAATGTTCCATAGAAGGGGGGAGAGTACACCGCCCTGGGGGCAGCCTCTAGCCACCACTCCTCTAGTCACTTCGCTCACAGTGAATTCTATAGCTCTATATCTTAGCATGCTGTCGATCCACCCTGAGATTGTAGAATCAACACCATGCCTAGAGAGCTTGGCTAATGCTGGTGAAGTTGGTCTTGTCAAAGGCTCCCTCGATATCGATAAAGGTGGCCAGTGTTGACCTTTTGTGATTTAGATTGTCTTCTATATATGAAACAACTCGATGTAGGGCAGATTCTGTTGATGTACCCATCGAGTATGCGTGTTGATTGAGGTGTAGAGGGTGACTGACTAACGCAGTTTCCCTGATTTCCCTATCTATTAGCCTCTCGAGAACCTTTAGTAGGAAAGATGTGAGACTGATAGGTCGGTGTGATTTGGGTTGTGTGTAGTCACCTTTACCAGGTTTGGGGATGAAGACTACTTTAACTTCTCTCCATTTCAAGGGGATGTACTGATGCGCCAGGCAGCCCCTATAGATTTTTACAAGATGGTCCAGTAGTGTCATATCACACCATCTCAGTAGGCCAGGGAAGACACCATCTAGTCCTGGCGCCTTGAATAGTAGGAAGCTGTCAATTGCCCATCTTAGTTTGTCATGGTTGACAACTTTGCGGGCCGTATCCCAGTCTGTATCATCTGGTGGTTTTTCCCATCTGTCTTCCCGTTTTTCCATCGCATCTGATATGCGACATCCAGGGAAGTGTGTTTTTAATAACAGCTCTGAGGCTTCCGAGTCTGTTTTGGTATACTCACCATCAGGCTTCTTCAGTGAGCCAAGATTGTGTTCGCCTCTACTACACAGTATGCTTTTGACTCTATTAGCCTGGTTGTTGTTCTCTATGTTAGTACAGAAGTTTCAGAAGTTTCTTACCGATAGGATACCGATAGGTGGTATCCGAGGGGATTTCCGCACGGAAAAAAAAAAAGGGTTAAGATTTTAGGTGAATTTCTATTATTGGTATTTACGTTTGCCATGTTGTTTCCACGAGTAGGGTCGAATTTCTTAGATCACTTACAGGGTAACGCCCATTCCCATAAGAAGGCTCTTGTACAACGGAGATTGCCCGATACTCCGAGCTTTGCGCTTGAGACTCGTCTCCTACCAGCCATTCATGCTTTGGGCATGGTAACACCGGCACCGTAGCATTAGGAATTTTTGAAGAGTAATCAAATAGGTAATCGTTTTCGTCAGACTTGACAACGAATTTACGACCACTGATAGTCATTTCTTTCCATCAGCTTAGTATGAGTTGTTAGCTAATATTGCCCAGGATAATTTACCGCCGCTTGAGTTGTTACTCGTTTTGCACCACCCAGGGGACACATGTAGGTTGGGCCTAGGAAAGGTGGTAGTTCCTATGGACATGAGTAACCCCATCCCCCATAATTCTAATTAGCTCATTTTTTTTATTCAGTACAAATATTTGTTTCTAGATGAAGAGTCCCTTTGTTTCATTTCTGTAGGGGAACAGCCACAACAATGGACCTTTATTTTTGTAAAAAAATTGCTGTTAACATTAATCGTATTGCTATTAAAACAATAACAACAACAATAAAACCAAGAAATGATTGCTTTAGAAAGGCTTTGAAAAGAGTATTGCAATGATTCACTGACCATCCTACTTACCGTCTTTTGGTCAAGATTAAAAGTTATCTATAACATGCACCTCTATACATTGGCCTGCTTAATATATTTACTTCGAACACACTAAATAAGCCAAGGCACAACAAATACCGAGTTACAGAAAACAGTCCTTTAATACAATGTCATTAAAAATATGAAATATGTAAACAGCCAGTTCAACACCATGAATTAAAAACTTAAACATTATCAAAACTACTTGTGAAATTTTGTATCTTACTCTAGAACTTTAGATGATTAGCATGTGTTAATCAGATATGGGTCCACACTAAAAGACAATTACCTTATATGTCACATAGTCACTTATTTCTTGAGCATTCATCTCAGGTGCATAGGCTTCTAGATCTCTTATAATCAAGTCAACTCGCACAAAGGAGTCATCATCACATTTTACTAAATATTTCAGGTTTTTTAAGTTGTTACTCAGCCATTTTAGGGCATGTAACATTTTGATTGCTAAGTTTCTATAGCTATCTTCAAAGCTATCTAATAATAGTAAATCATTATTCTGATTGTTTTCACTGTTTAGCCGTAGCAACTTAGTCTCAGTCAGACCTTGCGTTCCTATTACAAAATAAAATTTTATACAACTTTGGCTGACATGCTGTTCTGTCCAAGTATGATTCCATTTATAAAGCATTTCACCATTTTCAACAAAAATATTGTTAGCAAATTTCATCCATGTTGTTCTAATAGCATCTCGTTTTGGTTCATTGTCTGGTCCAGTTAAAATCAGAACAGCATACTCAACTTTACTTAATGAACTTTGTCTAAGACTTGATTCTTTAGCTGCAAGGGCATCGATACATTCAAGTCGTAGCAAACTTAAGGTAATTCCAGAACCAATATAAAAGAAGAAAATGCTAACTAAAACCATACTTCTGTATCTCTTTATATAGGACACGAACATTTTATAGAACTTCAAGTTGTGTTTACACCATTTTAGTAACTGTAGTTATTGTAGTACAATGCTCTAGTAGTATTGATGTCCATATATGGATATATTTATATATCTTACACTTGACTTTAGTAATTGAAAATATACCATAATCTATAGTTAACCTTATGACTGAGACCTCCAATCAAAAACAAAACAATCAATGAAATGTCTGGTTTATTTCATACGATAATATTTCTTTTCTCTTTCAGATTAATATAATTAATACATAAACACAAACATTAAAATCTGCACTTATTAGACACTTTAGCGCATTTCTCAAATTTCAGTGTTTATTTCGTTTCTGTCACAGTGTTACTGTAATATAGAGTTGTGTAGCTCCTGAGTGAGTGATATAAAAGGTATATATCATTAACGACGATAAAATGTATCACTCACTCACACTAGCTCCGAATATATCAGTAACTCAGTACTAGCCCACTAGACTAGATCATTAAATCACTCAGCTCAACGACGCCGATCTTTGTTTCATGAGCGAGTGAGACTAAAGATAAATGAGTGAGATAGATGATGGTTGAGTTCACGCAAGTTTCTTTATGCAAAATGTACATTATTTCTATAGGATCAAAGTTTAATATTACTTAAGAATTAAGCCTGCCAAGTACAATGAAAATCATATGATGTATGATTTCTATTATACAACCTAAAAAACAGTACAAGAAATAATTTCTTATTTTTATTTATTATATAAAAGGGTGTTAATAATTATGTAATCTTATCAAAATGAATAAAATTTTATTTAAAAAAAAATAGGTTAGTGTGGGCTTGATGAGGGAAACGCTAACCATATTTTTTTTAATTGTCCTAGAACTAAGTTTCCTATTTATGATTTCATTCCTCCTCATATTCCTCATCCCACGTCCCTTAAATTACTCTTATCTCGCGTTTTTACTCCTTTTGTATATATTCTAGGAAAGTGTATAACTTTAAACAAAATTAAATTATAGTTTCAATATCACAGTGTAATATTTGTTTTTGTTTTACTGGTTATTTATTATTTTGTAAATGTATATATATTATTAGCTGTATATATATTTTACTAGTTTAAGTTTTATCATGCCTGTAAAAGAAAACAATTTATTCATTCTTATTCTTTCATTCTCAAAATTTTTTTTTGGCTCTACCACAGCTCTACATAATATAATCCTTTGACAGTTTGTCTTTCAAATACATGACATTGGCGAAATTGTGGTTACACTCTACCACAAAGCCATTAACCAAAAGTTGAAGTTGAAAAAATAGGTTAAGAATGTAGTTTCAAAAACTGAATTTAGGTTAATATGAAAATAAAGAAAGGTTTGTGTGGCGAGAGAGGCTTAAAGTGAGTGATATACCAGTATACTGAGCTAAACGATCTAGATGAAGAAATGAATTAACTGAGAGACCAATCAATTGAATCGGATCAATGAGCTAGTGAGCAAAATGAGTTAGTGAGCTAAATGAGCTAGTGAGCTAGATGAGTGATATATATCTTTTGAGCGAAATGATATGTATCAATCTTTTCAGCTCAGTGATACATTTTGCGCATAACTACTGTAATAATGTAATACTATTAGTAGGGATACCAGCGATTTCCTTTCTAGGGTACACCTAGTTCCCCGGCAACTGGTACCCACGGCGTACAGTTTTTGGTCGTTTCGAGTCCGACATAACCATCCGACCGATGGGTGGTATCCGATGGGATTTCCGCACGGAAAAAAAAAAGTAGAGATACGCAAAAAGTATCGATACCTCAGGGTATGCATGATACTTTTGTTTCGATACAAGGTACTTTTGGAATCAATACTTTTTGCTTTGATACTTTGAGGTATCGATACTTTTTAAAAGTACCGAAACTTTCCTTCTCCCCATTTCTAATAAATTATTAGCTAAAGAGAAATAAAAAAAGTCTGGTGTCGTTTTATGAAACCATGATGTAGGTAAAACTTTTTTTCGGATTAGTCAGCTGATGCGAGCGCCGCCATATTGGCCTCTGCCCTAGTCTTGTGCTTAACCGGACATCTGCAGGTTCGCATCGTACTAGTACAATTCGTACAACGTACTAGCACACCGTCATAGTACTATTAGAACAGTTTTAGTAGAAGTAGAAAACTTAAGCATTTGTATTGATATTACTAACATTAATGAAACGGAATACCAAGTAATTATATAAAAGTGTTATAGAATTTTGGCAGACCGCGCTTTTTATTTTTTAATATAGATGGCTTTGTATTAGGCAGTTACTTTTCTTCAGTATAGGAATAATTACACAGTTCTTGATTATTTTTAATGTGTTATCCCTTTCTGAATCCCACAAACCCTAACAGCTTGACTTTTAAATACGATTTTTTAGATTACTTTACATTAAACTTTTAAGCATACTATTTGATTTTCCTTCATACTTTACAACCCAACGTATTGTAGTACCCTGTATCGCTGTCCCTTTTACACTCTCACTGTTTACCAAGACGGAACAATAAAGCGCAGCATTAGTAGTACGTCGCAAAACGAACGAACGTAGACACTAGTAGACAGAGTAAACAATAGGTAGTTTTAGTACTGGCTTGAACTTGACACTGTGTACTAATAGTACAAAATGTCCGATTAACAGCTGCCCTTCGGAAACATTACTTTTAGCAAAATACTCAGTACTATACCTATCAGTACATCGTACGCGTACTACCCAACAGCTTCGTTTTTTTTTTCAATCTTAGCAACACAAACAACACTTCATTCGGGGTTTTTGTAAATGTATTAAAAAATACTCGATACCTTCATGTATCGATACTTTTGTTTTGGTATCGATACTTTTGATACGATACTGGTATCTTATACTTTTGAATAGAGAGTCGGTCATTGTTCATTATTACTCAGTACTCAGTTCGCTCGAATTGTCAAATTGTCATCTGTCATTTTTAACGTTTAAGGCTTAGGCTGTGCGCGCAAGAGTGATTTATGTCACCGTGACTTTGTTGTCACTAGTCCAGCCTGTGAGTTTATATGGCGGTGCGCGCACGCAGCGACGTGACAACAGGGGATATTTTTGTCCACCGACAAGTCGTGACAATTTGTCACCGCCATAGAGATAATACAGATAGAAGAGATGTCCACTTTTTGTATGGACGTTGTTTTATATTCTGAGTAAAATCCATTAAGGGTCAAATTTCACTGATCTGAAGCAGCTCAACTTAGGAATTGTTAATCAGTTATGTAACAGTTTTTATATTCTTCATTTAAGATAAAAATAACAGTTATTTCTATTGGTAAATATATTATTGGAGGGTGGCAATATTGAACATACTATATAATACTGTTTATTCACAAGATAAAACAATAGTAGGCAACGTTTTTTGTTTTTTGATAAAAGATGTAGTCCATAAATGTATCTTTATATTAGTAGAAATCTTACAATTCTTCTACTCAAAACAAAATCTTCGTCACTCTGTCACGCATGACGCGTCAGAGACAATGTTTAAAGTTCTCATTTCATTTTTTATTGGGCATTGGTAGCAAAAATTTTGTTTGCATTCGGCCAAACAATTTGCTAAAATAAAAACGATATTTATCAAAATTTCAGTTATTTAAAATTTCCTTTTATAAATAATAGTTTATAATATTAGTTCTTAGGAAGTCTGTTCAAAAATATTTGGTTCATCGCTACAGGAAATTGACAAGAATAAAAAAACATTTCTGGACAACTCCTTTGAAAGAGTAGTGTTCATTCATTCATTCTTCGACAAACTTTACATTGACTGACTATCCTTTTTTTCAAGCAAATTTCTATAGTTAAATTCTTTAATTTTTTTCATTGTTTTACTCGAGTGTTAAAGAACTTAAAAGCTCCTTGAACCAACTAAACTGGTCACATTACTATTAACAGCAAACGTCAAATCAATGAAATCTAATTGTCAAATAAACGAAGTGCCAGCCAGCTGCCAATTTTTGGATGTCAATTTACACAATTTTATCAGTGAAAATTTTGCGGTGGTCGTGAACGGACGATTTTCACGATGTTCATCGAAGTAAATTGTTCGTGCCATTGGTCAAAGTGAATTAGATACCGTGGTTAGTCTCAGTTAACTATTCAATTTAATGTTTTATTTCTTGAGTTTAATCGGCATATTTAGTTACCTACTGTTAAACTAAGCTAACTAGTGTGGACTAAAATAAAACCTGTTGTGGGTATTCAATAAATTGCAAGTAGTTATTGCACACTGTCAATTGTCAGTGTTTAACAGTGATTAAGTACATTTGTCTACCGGTACATAGGTCATGCGTCCGGTTTCTTTAAAAATTTGCATTACCGAACCGTCCAACTGTATCTGAAAGCAGCCGAAGTAAGTATTTATAGCTTCTATTAACAGAGATATTTTTCTCGTAACTGTGTTTGCTCAAATTTGTTAACTCTATCTATTTGATGTTCAAATATTATTTTAAGAGATTTCCGGTATCGTTTTTTTTTACTTAAAATTTAAACCATACCATCTTTACAGTTACTTACTTAAATCATGGAGTCACATAAGAAAAAGTGTCGCCCACCGCATCCAAGAGCTACAGCTAACCCACTATCAGCACTCACATTTGCGTAAGTATGGTTTACTATTTTTCTTGACATGTGAGTCGCTTAATTTCAAACTTGAATAAGTCTAATTTTGAGAATTTTCAAGATTTTTTTTATCAAAAGAAAGTTTAAAAATAAGCTTTGAAACAATTCTCTTAGTTGTGTATAAAGCTACAAGGTTTTTGAGAAAACCTTTTAAAGTCAAAATATTTTATCAAAATCAGATAGTGGATCTATATATCTGAGACATGTTTTTTCAATTGTAGTTAAGTCCATCCAAGCCAATCTAAACATTAAGTTTTCTAAACAATGGATGGCTTTCACAATGAATTTGCTGAACAGAATCGTTTTATTCAACACTGTTGTCATAATAATAAAATACTGCCTTTTTAAATCATCAAATTAAGATTATTATCACTTTTTCTTAGATAGCTCCTAGGAAGGTAGAGTGGATTTATCCGAGTTTGAAGTAACGCGACACATGTGCAGTCTATTGAAATAAATCTCCCTACAAATGCCTTATGCAATCATACTGTCATAATTGTCATAGGAACATGGAAAAAAGGCTTACATCATATAAGATATAAGAATAATAAATTGTAAGAATAATAAATTTTACAAAACAAAAGATTTATTTTTAAAGAGTTACCCCCAAACTAAGAAAAGTTATTTTCTGTCCTTAAATATTTTACAGAAACAATAACAAGTAAATGTAAATGACATAAAAAGTCTATTTTTATTGAATGAAACTAACAAGTGCCTCATGGAATACTCTAAATGTTAGATGCCTGAGATGAGTTAAAATTATTGTACTGAATATTGTTGTTATGATCTTATTTCTTGTAAAGATAATTGATTATTATGTATTTTAGATGGACATTACCCATGTTCTGTGGTGGAATAAAAAAAGAAATGGAGGAAGAAGATCTCTATGAACCTCTAGCAGAACATTCATCAGGTGAGCGTAATTTTTAAGAATTATAATTTTACAAATTAGTACAAAATTTATTTATGTTTTTTTTTTATTTATTTATTTACTTCTCAACAGCACTATTGTTACAGGCTTACCCTAATGTGTTAGTGTGGTCCTTAATTACTATAACATGTAATAAACAAGGTTACTTTTGGTACTCATTCAGAGAACAAGAAAAAATGACAATAATCGCTGCCACCTTGTTTAGCATAACTAGAGTCTTCCTCTAGCTTTGCTTAACAAATTTGTCCTAGCAGATGGTACCGCCAGTAGATTATGTATTTTTACTATCAATTTATAAGTAGGCATGGTATGCAATTGTTATTTAATTATTTTGAATTACAAAACCACAATTGCTGTGTTGTGGCTGGATTGAATCATAACATTTGCTAATTATAATCGTAGAATGTGTCAATAGTCCATTTTGCACAAGATTTGTTTTTTTTAATATTTGTTATTTGTTACATAGTTGTTCTTGTGCAAAATAATGGTTTGGTCCATCTTAAAAATTATAATAGTGCATTATTTAACAAAACCCAAGAAAACAATTGTTGATAAGTACTTTTCGTAAACATTGTTTGCTATTTACTATAAGAGACAAGTGTAATTAGGTACATAACTGAACGGGGGGGGGGGGGTCGTCTACTCGTCTGTAGATGGCCCGAGGTATGTCGGGGCACCAGGGACTTCCTTTCTAGGGTATACCTAGTTCCCCGGCTATTAGTACCCTAGACGGCGTGCGGTTTTAGTCGGTTCGAGTCCGACATGCCATCGATAAGTGGTATCCGAGGGGATTTCCGCACGGAAAAAAAAAAAAAGTACATAACTGAATATAAGCTGATTCTTAATTCAGTATCTTTTATTTAGTTAAAGAATCATTTTTTCCTTCAATAGGATAAATTTTCTAGTTGGTCCCATTGTAATCAGGTAGGACATCACGATGGGATCTCCTTAAATGTTGTAGGCAAACCTTAATATAGTTGCTAAGCATTTTGTAATCAAAACAAGCACATGAAGTACCAGAAGAACTCCACTTGCATACGTAGGTCACTATATAAGTTTTGAGATGCTCGTAATTTTAAAAATGGAACGCATCTGTGTCATATATTATTAAAAAGCAAATTTATTGAAAATCGAACACAAAAGACCATTTACAGCAATAAAAAAATAATTGAAGTATTATATTGTCATCATTTCCCCCTTTTTCGTCAGCTACAATGGAGCACGCAAATGTTCACGATTAACGTAAACATTTGCGTGCATGATATATTATGACTTTAAATGTGGTTTATCTGTAGGTTGAAGCTAAGAACGTTTAAAATAAGCTTTAGGGGTCAGCTCCTCTTCGGGTTTCCATTTTTATGTTTAACGACTTTGAAAGGGGGAAAACTAGCCTGGAAGATGATGACAGAAGTGGACGCCAGCCAACAGCAGTCACTGCTGAAAATGCTTGGACTACTGAAATGCTTGTGGCGAGATGACCCATGAATTACATACAGGGACATAGAGGAAATCTTAGGCATCAGTTCGGTTAGTGTTCACACCATATTACATGAACATCTTAGAATATTGACTGGCCTGTTGGGATAGGTGTTAGTGACCCTGACTGCTACGCCAGAGGTCGTGGGTTCGATTCCCATCCAGGACAAATAATTGTGTGATGAGCACGGTCATTTGTTCTGTGTCTGGGTGTACTTTATCTATAATATGTATGTATTTAGAAATATATTAGTATGTTTATCAGCAGTCTGGTTACCATATCACATGCTCTGCCTAGTTTGGGATCAGACGGCCGTGTGTGAGATGTGTGAAAATATTATATTACATTGAATAAGGAAGCTTTGTTATCTTGGTTTGTGGAAGTATATGTTGTTTACTTTTTGCGTGTCTCAAAATTGATATACCTCGTGACCTACGTATTTTGAAAATTTACATGTAATATTAGGTTATTGTAATTTATATAAATTCAACCTCTAAGGGTATATTAAGAAATGAAGAGCAGAGCTTATTATTACATTTAAGTTGATTTTAAGAGTGTTGTTATTAATAACCCGGAAGTAAAAGGCACGAAAAATTACTCAGGGGCAGTCCCACGCTAAATTGCTTTAAAATGAAAACAATACGAAAGACTCAATCATACCAAGCTTTGATTTTATTCACATACACCCTCTTTCAGGTTATTTTCGCGCATTATCATTAAAATTATAAAATATATTTCTTGTTTAGTTAAACCAAAAATCACATCACGTTTACAATTATTTACTAAAAATACCAATTTTTTAATTATTATATTTTCACTATGAGTGTTTCAATAGTGTTGCGTCAGAATCGAATTTTGACCATACATCAATTATGTTTTTTGGATTGTTGCCGTGATCAATAATACCTCAACTCGCAATCTCTATACAAATAAATAAAATTGAAGTTTTAATGATTAATTTTAAAATTTTAATACTTGTAAAATAGTTTCAATAAAACCATCTTATTTTTATCGTGTAAATTATATTTAGATACAATTAAAAATGCAGTAAAATAATAAATAATATAGAATCTTTGTAAGCCGAACTTCAAGTGAGACGGCAAATAATACGAGTTATAGAGTTTTAGACTTTCGGAGGCATTCGAATTAGGTGGTTTTTGTAAGGAAATATTCGACTTTTAAAGGTTTAGATTATTTCTTTGATCATTTTCAATTTGTTTCATGATGATTTATTCGTTTTTGAATATTGTTAACAGAGTAGGACTCATTTTTTAGGCCCAATGTTTAGTTTTGGTGTACGTTTTGTTTAAAGTTTTTATTTTCTTTGTTGTACTGTTATTATGCGTAGTTTGCTCCCTTAGTCGGCTCTAACGATACCCACGGGATCACCACACGGATAATCGTCAATTTTTACTCTATATTAATCAAGTAACTTAAAACAAAACAAAAAGAAACATTTATAAAAAAAATGAAAATCCAAATGTTCTTGAATCTTTTTGTGACGCAGAGTCAGCAGATTATCCATGTTGCAAAATAATACCGTGTGTAGCAGTCTCACGAAAAAACACGTACACGCTAACAAACAACTGAGTCACTCATAGTCAGCCAGCTCGCTATACGTGCAGGCCGGAATGCACACTTACACACATTAGTCGGCCATTACGCGCGCGAACATCGAGACATCGAGACACGTTACGCGGCAAAAAATATAAATATACATCATGACTTGCGTGGTATAATGGTGTAAAAACCGTAGTGACCGAAGGAAAAAATATCCAGGAATCACGTTTCATAGGTAAATGAATAATTCAATCACTTATTTCCAGATTTTATACATCATCATCACATCAACAGACCTTAATAGTCCACTGCTTAACATAGGCCTCTCCTCCTTTATACATTAAAATCAATTTGTATTCGCTAGAACGAAAGAATTCATTTTAAGTCCAGTGTTGCCAATATTCACGAGTGCAAATTACCCTACAATATGGGAAATTTTTAGTTTATTATTAAAATCAATATATTAAGGTTAATTATGTAATAGTTCCTACTGGGTATTTTATTTTTTTATAAAAGATTTTTTTTAGAAAATATATTTTCATAAGTTGAAAAAACCAGAGGAGGCTTACATTTACCATCGAAAGATATGTTCGATATTTGTTGCAAAAATTATAAAACAAAGCATCACATTATACAACGAAAGGCAATATAAATATATTATCACAAAAATTTGTTGGTAATGAAAGCATTTTCTTAAACTTGGAATCCGAACATACTTTCGCCGGAATGGAACACACGTCTTATTAAATATATAGCGGAAAAATATTTAACGATTCGGTTGCACCACATCTCGAAATTAGAGGAAATTTCAAGATTCCTCAAAGTAAAAGACATTATTATAAAAAAATTACTCGGCATTTGGAATGGTAAACATTATAATTTCGAACAATTTTTTTTAAATGTTGACTGTATTTTTATGGCAAAAATTTGGGTAACTTGGCAATCTCAAAATTTACTCATACATAAAGAGCTGCAATTACGGTGCCTCACTTTTGTGTAAACGGGAGTTCCGTCCGCCTTTTTTTCTACGTGCATGGAGCACGTACAGCCATGCTTTCACGTGAGTCACTGTCGGCGGACAGCGACACACTAGCTAATTGGTTGAGCGTACTCCCGCCCCACGTCCCGCAAACCATCGGGAGGGCCAAGCTTACGGCGGTTTAGCTATAAGTACGAACTTTAAAACCTTCGAATTTCATGATACAAACATACATGTTTGAGTAGCCTGACGTTTCGACGCTGGTGACATTGGCCGTGGTCACAAGTTGGTAATCAGCCAATTACTATACCATGTCAGCCATACCTATTGATCACGTAATTCCTGTACGTATTAATAATTAGCTTTTGGCTCATGGCACCACCCGCGTGTATGTCGCTTATGTCGCTATGTCCTTCCTCAAGAATCAAAATATCTGCTAACCTAAATTTCATTAAAATCGGTTTAGCGGTATAGCCGCGATAGCGTAACAGACAGACAAACAAAGTTACTTTCGCATTTATAATATTATTAGGGATTCCAAGACTCACGTTCTTCCATTCGCAAAATCAAAAATTGCGTACAAATATAGATAATTATGTAACCACACTACTATAGAGCAATCACTTTTAATTTAATTTTTTTCAAATCAGCTGAGTCTGTTTATTAACGTGTTGCTAAAACATGAATACAAACAAACAAGCTTATTGCAACTACATCATTCAAAGTGCAATTAAATCATTGACTTGTGATGCATAGTTTGTGTCGTTTTTATTGGCACATTATTTTTTCATCTACATCTATCATCATCACATCTACATCTATACTCCAAGGGATATGCAGATAGATAGGTAATAAATTAAGATGTGATTATAGTAGCTTGGTTTCTTTGTAATGAAATTAGTTAGATCTTTATAATGAAACTGGGCATTCCATTTCCGGTTTAAGGTTTGTTTAGACAGCGAACTG